ATCTAGTTAACCTTGTCTAGCATTGACATGTTCCCTGTTGTGTGATATATTGCTTTATACCAAAAATGTGAAATATGGTGCAGTCATCACATCGATGTGCTGTTGTAAATTATGTTATCTAGTGAGTATGTTATTTTGGTGTATCAAAGTAATAATAACTTTATTTTTATACAGTTTTTACATGTTTTTGATGTCTTTAGCAGTCCTGTGTCAACTGTAGCCATTTGGGCTACATATCTCATTATCATTAAATGTTCGACATGAATTAAAAATTGGCTTTTGGTCTGTTGGAGACAGAAAATCCAAGCTTGACACAACCTCAAACCTAGTTTTGTTTAAGCCTCTCTCAGTGTTGGAGCAGTAATTTCTAAATTTCCTTAAACCAAATTACAGCTAAAGAGATAAAGAAAAAGTATCGACTCTTATATTTGTCAGCAAATTATTTTTTAAAGAACCAATAGACTAACTACATATTTTTTTTGAACAAAATGTGAAACAAAAATAACAATATTGAGACATCTATTTCAGTTTTCTGTTAGAGATCAGAGGTTTCAACACTAATGTCAGTAATGAAGAACACTGGCATTACCATCTAATATTCTCTCTGTGTGAATGGGAAAACCATGTACAGTACATGTTAAAGTGCTATTAAACCCAATGTGGGCAATTATCTTTTCAAAGTACACATCACAAAAACACAAATCTCGCTGCTATAACTGGGAGCATTGGGATCAGACCGTTAAGGGAAAATAAACAAGAGGAACTTTAAAGACTTTTTCTATGTAACAATATATTTTTATTTACTTCTTTACTTATGATACAATCATGGGACTTCGGACCAGAGTCTCTTTGTCTGCACGTCCAACGTGCCTCATGGGACCATCATCAACCCGCTGTTCACTTCAGCAAATTCAGGAACTGGATGACGAATCCGGATATTTCAGTAGTGATACAATTTTCTCTGTTTGAACTGACTGAAGTGAAAGTGGGTTCAGCCCAGCCTCCATGCCCTCTACAGCAGCGGGCACAACAACACACACTGCCTCTGACGTAGTATTGTGTACAGTAAGATGTGGTTCATGTTCTGTACTTGTATTGTTGTTGACTGTTGATGGAGCTTAAAGGGACCCTAAATATTTAAAGAATTATCATACTGTAATCACATTGAAAACAATTTAGAGTGCATTTCATTTTTTTGACATGAAATTTACAGCTTCCTGGCTCTTAGTGTTTGTTGTAGGAATTCAACTTTCTGCTGAAGATCTTTAAATTTACTTTTCTTTTTTTTTTAACTCAGATGCTAATGTATAGCCATTTAGAGAATGTTCTTCTTTCACTTCATTAGAAACTACTGCAAGCTTAAATGTTAATTTCTTGACTCAGAATGAATACAGAAACTACAGAGTGAAATTTGCCAAAGTCATCGGCACTGGATGATTATTCTGGCTCATTCCAGGAAATCAACAATAGAAACTATGAGCATGTGGACCAAACAAAACTAAAACTTCCAATCATTTAAAAGTGCTAAGGTGTGTATTTACAATCTTATACAGGAGTCTAGCATTGTCTTGTACTTTGAAATTTTAAA